ACATCTTGCAATGCTTCTTGCATAAAATCAAGTTTCAAGTTTTCCTTGTTTATTTTGTTTACCACACATTTATAATTATTTAATTTTTTATATTTGTTTTAATTTATATTTCTCCTGGCATAACACGGTTTTACGAACTTCTCCAGCGCATCTCTCGAGTTCGTCCATATATGCAGCCTCCTTTGTTTACTAGGTATCGCACCGAGCTCGAGGCAGCAAAGCCTCCTCTAATTCCATATCTGGGTTTGATGTTGCAAAATCTAATAGCTCTCCATCAAGGCAATCGATTGTACTTTTCTCAGCCTCCAAGCGATGAATTTGCGAAATTATATCGGCCTGAAGAACATGGACAGATTATCAATTTCTGGCGTTGTTGGAAGCATTTCTTGATAATTCATGTTTTTGTGAAACAGGAGAAGATGGATCCTGAGAGAGCGTAAGCATAACTAGCATCTATTAAATTAAGACTGTTTATTTTTTTTATTGTTTAGTTGAATAAATCTGGGGAAATTACTTTACTAGAGCCGGTTTAAAAATTGTCTGAAATCTTTTTTTAAATGCATAAACGTTGAATGACTGACAGTGTACAATTTTCATTCCATACCGTTTATTTATGATAGTTTATACTGAAACTTATAGTCCTTTTAATCATTCTACTCACCAATTCGCCACTGTTTTTATTAGTATGTCTAACTAATTTATGTCATAAGAACTCTTATTCTGAGAAGCTTACGAGTATTTTTGTATATTTTTATTTTCTTGCTACTTTTATTTTAAGAGGACTTGTTTGCTAAATTTTGCTTTTGATAGCTACTTATGTATAACGATATTCTTCCTAGTTCAACCATAATGAAAGGTCGTTATGAAGTGTTGTTCCGCTTCTGTTTTAGTGCCCCTTAAGAGAGTGAACATCTAACATAATATTACGTATTCCGATTTTTTCAGTCTTTAAATCAACATAAATTTGTCTAGTATTATCTTTCTTTCTCTGTGAGTTATTTTAGATGTTTGTTTGCATTTGTTTTCTTCTTGTTTTTTGGGTTTAGTCCTCAATTTTAACTGGCCTTTCTCAGCTTGGACTTTAATTATTAACATCAATGCAAGCTAGGGTTTATCTGAATAATTTACAGAGTGGGTCATGAATCTACATAGCATTTTGATGGTTGAACTTTCCTAATAAGATTTTAATGTTTCTAATCTATACGAACAGCAGCTGAACTAGATTTAAGCTTAGTTAAGGATTGCTGCTGCGCAGTTCTGATATTATATTTGCATTGAAATTGTCCATTTTGAGAGATTCTTAATGCATTCTTTGCTTCGCTAATTATTTCTATTTTACTATCACCTTGTTTATTGCAATAGTATTGACTTGAAGAGAACAATTCATCTCTTGTAAGATTGGAAAAAATGAATTTTAGTATATAAAGTAGGATGTGCTTCATTGATTACTTTTGGTTTAAGGAATTATGTGGTTTATGGGTGTTTTGATAATCCAATATTAGCATACTGGTGGTAATTCCAATTGTAAACGAATCTCTACCTTATCTATTTGTCCTAATCGTAGAGATCCTTTAAAATCAGGCTTTTATGCTATTCTTATTCTTGATTTCATTGACGCCGGGGATCGCTTAACCATTATTATTCTATATTAAAATAATTTATCAAAGATCCATCTTTAATTTTATCATTGATGCCCAATCTGCATTACTTGTCTTACTTTCATTTCTTTTTATCTCTATCTGGATGTTCTTCGGATAATCTATAGTCACTATCAAATCAAACCGAATCCCAAAATTCTTGCCTACCTCAATGAAATGCTAAGATGATATTTGATTATTCGATTTCGGCTCTCCAAGCTCCAATACACAATCATCCGACGCGCTTTCCACTTTGCTGATAATTCAAAGACCTACTTTTCCAATCCAGTTCCTACTAACTTAGCTCTTACCACAGCGACAACTGCCGACTTGCTTGATCGCTTATCTGCTAAACCAAATATTTTACCAAGAGAACAATTATTCTATTATGTTCACTTTGGTTCACTTTGCATCCTCTTGTCTTTCATTTAATGTAAAGTATTTGTTCATTTCTTCATTACCTACAAAATAAACTGTAGGATCCTACCCAACCTTGTAACATATATGTGGATTCATTGGTTTTTTGCCATTCGCATTTTATCGTTTATGCAGTATTTACTCTTACAAATCCCAAATTACGTTGTATAGACGAAATATACAGTCATAAGATGCTTCAATGACTTCTTTGTACATCAGTTTCATTTCCATTCCCTAGAAGATGCACTTGAGCTACATCATTTTATGTTACTCCTTAGTTTCAAAAGAAAATGCACAATTATTTTACCAAGCACTTAAATTTAGTTATATCGACATGATCTCAGCATATTGGAATACTATAACAATTATTTTATTTACTAACTATCCAAATCGTCAATGCAATAAAATCTTATAGTTTTAAAGGCTGAAATTTTATCCTTATTCATCGTTATTTCTTTAATAGTGAGCCGCTATGTCCTACACTGACATAATATTCGCAAACTGGTGACTTCTGATTTTGATTTTTGTCGATACGACTACCAATGTCTGATCCTCTCCTGTTGTTTAATTAATAGATTAAAGAGATTTGATAAATTTAGAAAGATTATGAATGCG